TTGACGGATCGAACAGCATTGACGCATCTTCCGGATTTGAAGCAGTTATAGAATTAGAAGGCACCACCCAAATGCTTGTTCCTTCGTTTCTGCGCGTATAAATATCGCGTGCATTTTGTAATGCCATTTTACTGTCAGAGGCGTGAACGCTGCCTGCATGTGCATGTTCAGAACCATCTTTTTTCTGAATAAAAACTTCCCAAAGGTCTAATTGCGTATCCATATTCTAAATTTTATTTTTGGTTTTGATAATGGTTTATTTTGAATTTACTTTTGCATAAGCGGCAGCGGCTTCGCGTACCCACGCGCCTTCGTTATGCACTTTGATATGATGTGTCATGCGTTGTTTGTTGCACGGTCCGTTACCGTTCACCACTCGTCTGAATTCTTCCCAGTTGATTTCTCCGTGATCGTAGCAGTTCTTTGCTTCGTTCCATTTCAAATCGGAATCAGGAATGGTTAAACCAATGGTTTCGGCTTGTTGAACGGTTTTATCGATAAAACGCTGACGTAACTCATCGTTGCTTTTGCGTTTAATTTTCCAAACGAAAGCATTTCCGGAATGTGGACTGTCGCTATCGTGCGGACCGAACATCATCAACGAAGGCCACCACCAGCGGTTCATCGCATCTTGTGCCATTTCTTGTTGCTCTTTTGTGCCCTTCATCATGTTCGCCATAATTTCATAACCCTGTCGTTGGTGAAAACTTTCTTCTTTGCAAATCCGCACCATGGCTCTCGCATAAGGACCATAAGATGTTTTTTGTAACGATACTTGGTTCACAATGGCAGCGCCATCTACCAACCAACCAATAGCGCCAATATCAGCCCAAGTTAAAGCCGGATAATTGAAAATATTGGAGTACTTCGCTTTGCCAGTATGCAATTGCTCTATCATTTCTTCGCGTGAAATACCAAGGGTTTCAGCCGTGCTGTACAAGTATAATCCATGCCCGCCCTCATCTTGAATCTTAGCTAATAAGATTTGTTTGGCGCGTAAACTTGGAGCACGGGTAATCCAATTCCCTTCGGGTTGCATGCCAATGACCTCGGAAT